GAAGAGCCCTATGATCTGATGTAAAGTAGCTCAAGTAAAACCAGAAGAACAATGTATGCAGACACATAAGATTATAATGAAAAATAGCTTTGAAAGACTTAAGAACTCTGATCACTGCAGTGCCAAACCTCAATTTCAGAGGACTAAAGATGAAGCATGATGCTCCCACACCTCCTGACAGAGCAATGGAGCCAGGGTGCGGTTACATTTCTGGACATGGATGATGTAGGAATTTGCTTTGCTTGACTAGACATAATTGTTAGGAGGGGTTTTCTTTTTTTTTGTTGAACAAATGGGTGAAAGGGGGAAGAAATGAAAAAATTTTAAAAATACATATTTTTGTCAGTCCTTATTGGCCTATTTCTAGAGGAAAGAGTAAAAGCATCACATCAAACCTTCAAGGACAGGACATGGATTGGACAATATAGCTTTGCCTCGGCAGCTACAAAGCCTACCTTTCTCAGGGAAGAAAAGAAAGATAGCATCACACAATTCTCTGGGACATTTTTCATCTTAATTTTCTAATTCAAGCAGTCTGGAATCCCTTGTCCCTGCAGGTATTCTAACTGAGGACTAGATAACATCCTCTGAGACACAGAACTAGAGACACAGTATATTATGGAAATGAAGATCTTTTTAGTCTAGCTTAAAAGTCTCCCTTAATTTCATGTGAGGAAACTAAGGTCTACAGGAGGCTAAATGACTTGGTTTAAACCCCAAGACTGGCTAGTGCCCTTTCCACTCTGTGGCCTCCATTCCTTTACCTACGGAAGGTTCCAAAAGACAGCAAAGTAAAGCTGCTCAAGCACTGACCCATGCTCAGTTCAGGTATCTATAGCGACATCCATTCCAGAGATAGCTAACTTACGCTGCCCTGCAATAGTTAATTCTGAAGCACTAGGGACTTGCAGTTTTCACCCAGACAACACAGAGATTCACCCTTTCTTCATGGACAGAGAGAACTGTCCCTCAGTTCATCTGTTCGTCCACTCCACTAATTTTCCACAAGGTACACGTGAACCAAAGGTCCACAAGAATGTGGGTCTCCAAGAAGTAACAATACATCCTCCTAGGGGTTCATTATTACATAGTGGGACTGACCTCTTTTCACTGGAGCCTATGAGGCTATCTAGTCAGGCAGGTTACAATCAATCAACAAAACCCTTCTTTAAAGCCTAGGATGTGGAAGGCACTAAATGAAGTACTATGGATGTAAATGGAACAAATCTCTTCATTTTACAGATGAGGAAATTAAGGACCACAAGGGCTCTTATTGTGCACATTTAGAGTTTTTCTTCAGGCAAGATTCCTGTTGGCTTATCCTACTGACTATAAACAGGTTTAATGATAAGCTTGCCAGAATTTTTACCCTTTAAACAAACAAACTTTGGGACACAGCATATTAAAATAAGGCGCCATTTCTTCAGGCCCTGCTATGGTGGTGCAGTGTCCTTCTCACCTCCACCCCTAAGAAAACCTCTCTTCTTTCCAGCACTGCCTTCTACATAAAGTATTTTCTTCCTCCTTATCTTACAGTTCCTATTTATTCTGTATTATTTACTGTTTACACATTTATGTTCATGTCTCCCCTGAATTTAAGTTCTTTGAGAGCAGGGACTGCCTCATTTTTTTTTTTTTGGTGAGAAAATTATGGTTAAGTGACTTGCCCAGAGTCACAGAGCTAATAAATGTCATGTGTCTGAGGCCCGATTTGAACTCAGGTCCTCCTGACTCCAGGACTGGTGCTCTATCCACTGCGCCACCTAGCTGCCCCTGCCTCATTCTTTTTATGTGTATCGCCAGCACCTAAGCCCAATGCCTAGCACACTGCTTAATAAACGCTGGCTGATTGATGGCCCCTTTATCTGTGTGATGGAGACCTGGCCCAAGATGCTGAACTTTCCGACCACTTATCTCCAAAGAAGCCCCATTCCTACAGCAATGCCTTCTGATTTGTAAGCTTAAACAATACCATTTATGAAGAGTGAAGGGCCAGGGTGCTGACCCTCACTTGGATGTTCTGGTACAGAGCTGAGGGAGTTGTTGAGAAGCCAGGGTCACCAAATACCACTCCAAGAGCAGGATGTGCTATCAATATATACAAGAGGAAGGGCAATATCTGCAAACCACAAAATAAGATGTCACTATCACAGCTACTTTGGTATGATTCAAGGAAGTGAGCAAAAGGGAATGAAAAGCTTCCTCTACAATTGCTTTTAGGATCATTTATAGGGCTTGCCAGACAAGCACATCTGTAGTTCTAGGGACGGATAGTGAGGGCTGTAGGTTTTAGCATAGGATCACCTTCATCTCTGTCTCTCACTCTTTTCCAAGTGTTTGGTGAGTAAAAAGAGACACCAAACACTAGACAACCATATTCTACTAAGAAATCATCACACTGAATACATCTATAAAATGAAGCACTAGAGGATTTTTTTTTTTAAGGATAGGCAATGGGGTTAAGTGACTTGTCCAGGGTCACACAGCTAGTAAGTGTTATGTGTCTGAGGCTGGATTTGAACTCAGGTCCTCCTGAATCCAAGGCCAGTGCTCTATCCACTGCGCCACCTAGCTGCCCCTAGATGATTTTCTAAGGTATTTTCCAAATCTAACTTTCCCTCAAGGACTGGCTCCAGTGGCACTTTTTCCATTTGGCTTCCAATGATTCCTCCTTCTGCCCCTAGCTTCCCCCAGTCGTTAATGCTCTTGCCTTTCTCAAATTACCTTGTACTTGCTGATCTAGGCACGTGTTTAATTGCTCTGCAGGGTACAAGTTCCTCACGGGCAGGGAATGCTTCCTTTTTGTCTCCATATGGCCAGCACCTAGTGTGGTACCTTCCACACAAACACTGGCTGAAAGGAACTCAAGTTCCTCCTACAAAGGCAGAATTACAATCAAGCTCCGTAAGACAGACTCACAGGCCAGGTAAGTAACAGTGTAACAATAAGCCAGGCTTGTTTTTTAATCTCTGAAGTTAACTTGTATTTAAGTGCACATCACCAGCATTTATCATGACTTGTTATGATGCTCTCTAGCAATCGCTGCATGTGGCTCAACACCGACACCCAAACAAACAGAAACCAAATCACGAATTCTCTTTACACTTTTACCCCTAAAGTTCAATATTTATTAATCAACATTCACCTTAATTCTGGCTAACAGCAAAAGTAAGTGTTTACCTCACCATAAATGTTCTAATCTAACCAGATTTCCTATTTCACAATAAGCCAGGTTGCTTTTAAGTGCTAAAGCCTTTATGATAAAAGCCAAAACTCTTAAACAATTATCTTTAAAACTAAAAAGGACACAGAAATAAAAGCAATGACTTATTAACCTATTTCCTGGACATAAGCCAGTCTGTATCATTATTTGTATCATTACTATCTTCACCATTTTACACATTCTGCTCAGTTCTAAGACCTACATCGAGTACCCTGTCTACTGGACTATGTTAAATTCTACAGTAGCCATATGAAACCAATGCTCCTGTCCCCAAGGAGCTCACATTCAAGAAAACACCCAGAGACTGTGAGCTTTTCTTTCCTTTTCTAAACTTTAGACATTTCTCTACTATCATATTGGAAGGATCATGTCTAGCTAGTCAAAGTCTGGGTCTCAATGAAATGATTAAGCTAAAACCAGCTATAATATTCTAAAATTAGGACAAAGTGCTCAGGAATGGGAAGCAGTCCTTTGGTTTCCCCAAGTCAGGGCTGATAGCATTTCAGCACTCTTCTTTTGACTACACAGCCAATTACAGATCACACCATTCCCGTAACTGACTAAAATAAAGTAAATCTGAAAACTTTTTTCACTTTTCAGGACAAAGCCGCATAAGAAAAGTTTACCTACCATTACCTTCCATACATACTCAAATGTACACCACTGTGTTCGAACATAAAATGAAAATCCACAATTTTTCAAATCCAGAAGCTTTCAGCAACAGAATCTGGTTCAAAAGTATCCCAGGCTATTCAAGCATAAAGGCTTCATCTTCAAATTAAAGGCATTTGAAGATGCTCCAATTAAACCGGAAACATTTCCATCATCAAAAGCACGAACCTTCCCCCCCTTGCCCCCAATGACTTATTTTACAACCAGTCACATGCAAATCTAAGTTTTATCTCATGAATGGAGATTGAAAAGCAGGTCTCTTCCGCAGGAAAGGTAGTATCAAGAATCTGTGTTCGCCTTGCTTCGTACCCCCCAAAACAGAATGTACAAAGATCCTACAAGATGAAGAAAAGCAGCAACACAATGCCCTTATTGGTCAGAAGAGTATGCACTACCAAGGATAACACACCACTACAGAAGGGAATTTGCAAACACCTGAGAAATACAGAAACTCAAGCAAAATTAAATAGGGCTGCAGCCCAAAGTTCTTTGAAACCAAAATATATCCTTCTTTTTCTAGAAATAGGCACCCTATTGATCACCTTACCTGCTCAACAGCTTTAGTTTCCTCCTGACATTCTTATCTGGCTGCTTGGTTAATACAACCAAATTTGGAGAAAACCAACCCCTATGATGTTAAGACTATTATATCTGGGGAAAATGTGACATTTAATACTTTGACAATACAGTCTCTGCCTATTACATTCAAATTTGTGAATGACCCCAAACCTTTTAAAAAGGACAAAGAGAAAACAAGGAAGAGATTAGAATGCAGAAGAGAAAATTCTTAGGTTATTTCTTGTAAAGATGGGGTTATTATGAAATTAGCCCAAGTATATACTTAGTAGAAGAAATCAATCAGAATGAAGAACAATCAGTAGCCATGCTTCAAGTGGTTATAGGGTTATTCATTCTAGGTTAGACTTTCTACAAAGAAGTATTCATCTCCAACATCAAACTCCTAAATCATTAGTTATTGGTTTGATATCTAAAGTAACATCACAATGCTGGTGCTCTCGCACTGCACGTCTACAAAGCTGTAATATGTCTGAAAGGGAGATCCCTGGAGCAGATCTCTTCTTTCTACGTTTTGCCCATTATGTACCTCCAAAGCCAAGGCTGTCTTGTCGTAGGCATTAGGGACTCGCTTCTGGATAACCCTGGCATAAATGGGCCCATTCTGGAGGTTAGGGAGCGGAGTGTTGACGCTGGGTTGGGCATAGGGCCCGGGCTCCGGCCCACCCAGTGGCTGTGGGTGGGAATTATCCTGGTTACCTCCAATCAAAGCTGATACTGAGGCGGAAGCAGGTCTATACTTCTCGACGTAAGGGACTGGTATCATTCCCCTCTTGCCTTCGCTGTCCTCTGCATTCCACCACTGCTCTTCAGGCTTATCCCGGATTCTCAAGATGTCTCCTTTCTTAAAGGGAAGGTCTTCTTCATCATTCCCATTAAAGTCAAAGAGAGCCCTCACATACTCTGCCTCCTCTGGCCTGAGAATTACTCCACTATGCTGCCTGGATCTGGAAACGGGCTCTATCAAGGTTGTAGTGTCCAAATAGTGTATTTTGTAGAATTCCAGTAAAGCAGGCAATGAATCAAACTCTTGATCTCCTATTCGGAGTCTGGAGGGGTTCAGCCCTGAAAGAAACACAACAGGATATTATTCAAAAGAACCCACTGCACTGAAAATAAACTTTAGATCTGAAATTTAAAATGGTTTATGTTAACTTTAACTAGTATCAGAAATAGTTAAAATCTGGTGCTCTGAGAGATAACCCCAACACAGAACATGTTTCACAGAACCTACACTCTGATATTTCTGTTCCTAATATTATCTGTGAAAACTCAGACTGAAAAAATAAATTTAAGTAGACGTCTGTTGCAATCACATAAGGTCATTAGGGAAAATCAATCCCAAAGATTCCATAGCTCCATGTGGCAATCAGATTGACAGCAAAGGACTGAAGAAATATTTAAATTAGGAAGTACGGGAAGACCAGTGAATGCTACAGTTATATTAAACTGCTACAACTAAAACAAGGGACTAAAGAAAAGAACCTTAGAGCTGAATTTAGCCTGTCAGAAGAGAATGGATTTTAGAATACACTCCCTTTTCTACACTCAGGTTCTAAAATTCAAGGACAAAGAACACTCAACCAAATAAAAAAACAAAGTTGCCACTGAATGAAAAATACAAGCTTTTCAACAGTATTTTAAAAGATTCAGAGGAAACAGAACAAATGTCTTGTTTTTATTTTGTTTGGGTGTATGGTACTTATATTCAAATCAAATTATAGTTTAAACTTTAAGATCCTTAACCCATATTTATCTATTATTCTTTGTTATCAGTTACTTTTAATAAGAGATTTAAGGAAATAGAGGTTTTCATCCTATAACAGAGGTAAAACTGCAGAGTGGCTAGTTGGAAGGTTAGCCCTTAGAGCAAGGAAAATCTGGGCTCAAGTTCTGTCTTGGACACCTGCCCCACCCCACAAACTGCCCCAGTCTGCAGTAGCTTTCAACCAGCCACATGCAAATCTAAGTTATCTCATGAGAGACTGAAATGTAGGCCTCTGGCTTTGTCTATGTACCCACAGGAAAGTTACTGAGTGTCTCTGTGTCCCAGCCAGCTCTTTAAAACTAAGTTATCAATCCATCAATAAACATTTATTAAGAATCTATTATGTGCCAAGCACTGCAGCGAGCCCTGAGCATACAAAAGGAGGCAAAAGCCAGTCCCTGCCCTCAAGGAGCTCACAATCCAATCGGGAATACTGACAGCGAACACGAATAGAGCACTTACAACGTGCCAGGTCCTGAGCTAAGTGCTTTATAATTATTTGATCCTCACAACAACACTGGGACAGAGGTGCTGTTATTATCTCCATTTTACACACGAGGAAACTGAGGCAACAAAGGCTAAGTTAATTGCCCAAGGTCACACACAGCTAGTAAGCATCAGAGGCCACACTGGAAATCAGGTCTCCCTGACCCCAGACCGTGTACTCTCTCCAATAAGTCCCTGGCTGCCCTGTAAGTCATATTCTGGGTGAAGAGAAGACGATTTCAACACCAAGAAGGAATGAGCTGATTAGGAACAGCAAAAGAGCTCCTCGGATGCCTCATGGCAATGTGGACATGTCCCTGGATTCTTGCCAGCAGAGAACAGGTTTGGGCAGGTCCTCCATCTTGGAAAGATTTCTGATAAATCTAGGTCCAGAGACAGACTGCTAGCCTGCATGCCTGCTGTCTGAGACTCAGACTACCTAAATCTGGAGAGGCTCATCATCAGGCTGGCCAATGTGATGACTTTCTCAGTCATCTTTCTAAGTCATGGAGACACGCTGCACTGGTAGAGTGAATGCCCAAACCAATTAAATTACAGATCCTTAAAACCCTGAATTACTAAAAAGTTAGAGATGAATGCCATATAAGTGTAGAAAGAACAACTAGAATACAGAGATGTGTCCTTAAAACAAAATTCGCTTCATTATTAGGACAAGGTGAAAAGAAAAAGATGAACTCTGAAAGCACTCAAGGATTTGAAGGCCTACAATTCAGAATGAGTCCTGCAGCGCCTTCTCTTTTCACTCCAGTTAAATAATGGGAAAACAAAGACCTAATTTAAAGGACAGTGCACTTCTCATGAGTAAATACACATTCCTTGCACAACACCAAGTCTATCTGTGGAATTCAGGGTTGTAAGTTGAAACAAGTTAGTTAGCAGGCAAGGCCCAATCCAAACCCAGGAATGCTGGGTAGCAGCCCCAATCCGGGACCACGAAGTGGATCCCCAAGCCTTGGGCCACAAACCTATAGCAGGCACAGACCAAGAACAAGCAAAAGTGGCCCCAGACAGCTCCCAGTAGAGAATGAGATTGTTTGGGCCATAACTAGAACGCAGGTCTTACAGCTGGAGAGGCTATCACCGATTGTAACTCTAATTCTAAGAACAAGGCCTTTCCCCCTTCATTCTAAGCTGTTATACACCTTTTGTACAAGTTTAAGACACAAAATTAATAGGAGTAACAGAGAGCTACGCTCAACATTCCCTTGTCTGAGACAGTCAAGGCTATGGGTCACAGAAGAGTCCTGCTAGGGCAGAGCCGTCTGACAGGCACTGCTTCAGACAAGCAGAGGTGAATGAATGGTTCCTATCACTTTCTCAAGCCCTTAGTCAACTACCTAGTCCCAGAAAAATTGTCACCAGCCTCCCTTTTCACTCGGGGGAGGAGGGCCTGGGCACATTTGTAAGTATCCCAGAATGAGACAGGTCACAAGAGTAAGTCCTATTTTAAACACTGCATCCCATTTTGCCAATGACTTCCATTAACAAAATTTAGAATTTCTTTTTAATGAATAAAATTGCATGCAGTACAAAAACTTGAGACCAAGCGTGTTACTATCTCCACGCATCAAAAAGTTGCTCCTTCTGTTTGGGGTGTGAGATCACTGTCACCCCTGATTTTCCTGAAGACTAAGGTAAGAAGTGAGGGGCAGGTAGTGGGGAGAGGAAATGTTTTTTTTGTAAAGATCAGACTCTCAGGACCCAGATTGGCTCCTATAGTTCCCCAGGACATGAAGCCTGCTTGATTCATCTCCTTTTTCTACCCACCACATATTTATTTTGTCTTAAGTTATAGAGAGGCTGGTCCCAATGTGACCCAGTTTCTGGGTCTCTTTCAGCAACATCAACCAATGTAGAAGCAAAAGCAAGGTAACACAGGCCAAACAGAATTGCAAAACACTATAGAAACGTAAATGTAAAGCATCAAGTTCCAACTCTTTCCTCTCAGAGTTCTGACTGAGCAATTCCATATAAGAACAGTTTTGGGGAGGGGGAGAGGGAGGGGTTTCGTCAAGTTCTTTTTTCATGAGTGTGGAGAACTTCAGGTGTGGAAACTCCTTCCATGTCTACGGGCAGCTCATCTCCAAGTTAGAGTCTTAGGAGAACTGCCCCGGAAGTAAAGAAGTTAAAAGACGTGCCCACAAGTCTCATGTGTCAGGGTCAGAACTCCCACTAGGACTCCAAGGCTTGGGCCTTTCTCCACACGATGAGAAACAATGGATAGCAAGTCACACATCAACGTGTCATCATCCTACAATGAATCATTTCCAACCTGTCGTCTTTTCAAGAGCTTCAGGACCAGCAAAAACACTTCCTCCTCTCAAACCAAAACAACCAGAAAGCAAAGAGGGCAGACAGCGGGGCTGGTTGGCCGAAACACCGGTGTTAGCGGGAGAGGTACCCTGGCACTCTTAAAGCCAAAACTCTTGTTTTAACCCTATCACTTGAGCTTAGCTTCAAATGTTTATACATCAAACCTTTGCTAGATTCCAACCAGGTTGCTGGAAAGCAATGCATCTCACTTTCTGAAAGTTTGATTTTTGTTTCACTGGGCAAAAGCATCTTCTCAAGTCATCCATCAGGACTTCACCTAAACATCTGGGTCTTCAGGTTACAGGCTGACAGCCCCCAGCACTGGAAGGTTTATGGAAACTGAGACTTGTGCTAAGAACAAGCCAGGGCAGCAGGCCCAATGAGTAGCCCATGAAGCAAATACTGGCAACACACCATCCTCCTGGCCCTGTCTTTATCTCCCAGGACTTCTCCCACTCCCCTTATCTACAACTCCCTTTTCTTTCATCTTTCCTGCCTATGCCTTAAGCCTGCCAATGGTAGTCCTAGATATTAGTGGGGCCCTACTGAGGATGGACACTCAGAGCTACATGGATTGCTGACTTAAGGTTTTCCCACAGAGTCTAAGGTCTAGCACATTCTCTTAAGCAGAACACGTTAAGTTTCTCTATAATTTAATTTTCTTAAAATGCTATCTTCCTTAAAATGGCACGCCTACCCTAACAACACTTGACCCCTACCACTGAAGTCTCTTCAGAAACCTCCCAGTTATCTCATTGGACAGAATGTACAGAATGACCCAAGGACACTTTCTAAGCCAAAGAGACTGCAAACACATATAAAGAATAAGAAATGAAGACTAGGTTGCCAGATGGCCAGAGGTGGGGATGGTGGAGGACAAAACAGACAGCTTGAGTGGCCCACAGAGGTTGAAAGGTACAAGGGAAGGACTTTCGCTTTAACAATGTCATGAAGAGCAAACTACCTGGTAACACTGCAAATTACCCAATGCTAACAGAGCAGGTGAGAGCAGTCAAGTCTCTCTAATATATGTGGCACAAAACGTTCTCATTGAGACAAATTGTGAAATTTTAGTCACAGTCATTCATCCTCATTCCCATGCCTCTAGACATGCTAATTCCACAGTCACTGAATGCCTACTATGTAAGTACTGACCATATGAAAATGAGGAAGACCTGCTTCCTGCACTCAAGAGTTCACAATCAAATAGTGTAAAATTCTTTCTGCCTATTATGCCAATGTGTACTCTCCATATCTCTTGCTTTCCTTAAAATGTGATGCACAATTCATCTTTTCCATATAACCTAAATGGAAAGGCCTCATATGTTATATGAAAGATATGGAAACAATGAGGGTGCCTTGTCATTTGAGGAATGGCTGAATTGTGGTAAAGGAATGGAATAAAACATTACTCCACTTTTAAGAAATGATGAATATGACGAACTCAGAGAAATTTGGGAGATTAGTATGAACTTATGTAGGAGGACAACTTACAGGATAAGCATAATGACATAAAACAAGTTTCAAAGGCTTCAAAACCCTGATTTAGTAACCAATCATAAAACTGATGAAGCATAACTCCCACCTCTTGGTGCACAATAGGTCCAGAATGAGACAAACATTTAAGACACAGTCAATAAGTTGGGATATTTCTCTTAATTATACTTAATTGCTGAGTCAGGCTTCAGTCTGGGGGTCGGACTGAGTTCACGCAAAGTAATAGTGATGCCCCCACCCAAATGAAAAGAGCATCAACAAAGCATAAAAACCCCCTATGTTATAAAACCAGGAGTTCAGGAGGGAATACAAGCGGGGCAATTTTGTTACTACCTTTTAAAATCTAAGATACACTTTTTCATAAAAAATTCCTTTTTTACCCTCTTCCTTATATATAAGGTGGTTAATATCTGCTGTTAAGGTGATAAATATTCACCTATTTCAAGTCTTCCTGGATTTACACTGTCTGATCTTGGTTCTTTCTCTATCATGCATCATTTGCACAATTTGTCTTTGTTCGTTTGTAGATGTCCATTTAGTCTGCCCAAGAAACCATAATCTTTTTAAGGATCCTCCATTTCCCACCCTAGAATTTGGCAATGTAATAAGCACTCAATATTTACATTCACATTAAGCTGAAGGAGAAAAGGTGAATGCACACTGGTATAATACTTGTTAAACTGAATACCCAGAGGCTGGAAAGTGCCTGGGGATGAGAGGATCTAAATCATCTCTAAGAGACCTTTCAGCTTTAAAAACCTGCAATTCATTCTGTATCATCAGGGTTGCTCAACTGGAAAGCCCAGCCTCAAAGAGTAGAGCCTGAAGATACGTACTGCTAACCCTAACTTCAACCCTTAATACCACACTAAAAAAATTTCCCAAACTAAAAAAGTGTGGAGCATAACTATACTTACTTAAGTTAACCTAAACTGCTGCTGCCTGCGTTTCTATTTCCAGAAGACCAAAGCAATCATTTGCATAAATCTTTCTAACTGAATTCTTACCCAATCTGCCAAAGATTTTTAGAAGCTCTAGATTTCCTTCCCCACCCCATCTTCCTGCCCTAAACAAAGGATGGCAGGGGGCTGGGGACAGCTTTTCTTCAGTCCTCCATTCCACTTGGGCACTGAACAAAACAAGGCACACTGGGAGCAAAGGCACTAAACCATTCACATTCCCAGGTGTTTTTTCCTCCGCTGCAAAGCTCTTTTGAGCACTACTGGGATCCTGAAATGAGCAAGAGAGCTTCCAGATTTCCCCAACAAAACTCAAACCAACTTCCTCTAAGCCTTCAAAAACTAGTAAAGCCAGAGCAGAAATAACCTTCAGATACAGCTGAATCAAATGTACTAAGTGGAAAACAGAGAATGTGGTAGAAAGCAACACAGCTGCTTTTCACTCTGTGAACTATGCCTGCCTAATCACACAACCATGACAATCCTAACGTCCCTGGCTGCGCCAGGGAGGCGTCTGAGTTGCATTTTATGTTTTGAAAAGGAGGGGCCCTCTGTCAAGGCACATACTGATACTGAGATTTGAAACCTAATGTGCAGGACTACCGATATCCACCTAGCCTTCATCTCCACATTTGGCCACCAAGTCAAAGAACAGAGGAAAAGCGAAGCTTTGCCCACTTTACTACGTAAGGGACAGCCCAAGATACCCTTCAAACTGCCTCAAGGCTAGGCAGAAAAACTGACTGAACAAACATTAGACATGTGGTATAATTCTGTCCCAATACTGAATTACTAAGACAGTAATCAGTCTGGAAAAGGTGAGATGCTTCATGAACTGATTTAATCAGGAAAAAAAACTCAAAAGCAAAATTTCAAGGGAGCAACTTTAAAACTAAAAAACTGCTTCCTCATTTGAGTCACTGATTCCTTCCAATACCAGTTGCTCTGTATCAACATGACAGCATTCATCAGTTCTCCTGACTTCTGACCTTAGACAGTCTGTATTAGGAGCGTTTAAAACTTTAAAAGGCTGATATAAAGGATTCCTTCCAAATCAGAGATTGGCTTGAATCCAGCTTCAAGACACATAGCAGTTAATAGAATGGAGAGGTCATCTTTGTCCTATTACACTGACAGCAACATCAAATTAAGATATTGCTACCATATACAGATTTCTTTAACTCTCAACTATGATAACAAAGGGAAGCGTTGGGCACTAAATGCCCAGAAAATCCAGCTGTGTCCATAGCCTACAGCCCCCAGTGCTACACAGCAAAAGGTATCCTGGTGGCAGCCAGCTAGATCTTAAGTTAGAGGAGCAGTGTGGTGTAGTAGGAAAAGTGCAGTCTTTGGAGTTAGAAAAACTGGGTTCAAGTATTAGTACTTTCATACCTGTATGACCCGGGAGAAGTCACTTAACCACTTTAGGCCCCAGTTTTCCTCATCTGCAAAATGAGGGAACTGGACAGGACGTATGACCTCCAAGATCCCTTCCATACCTTAAATCCATGAAGAAAAATTCGAGTCCACTCACATTCAGTAAGAGGGTTGTCTCTGGAAGTATATTCAACTTTTTTTTTTCTGATAAAGTATCCACCTAACCACCACTGAAATTTGCTTCTGGAATCCCTAGCTCCACCTCCACAAAACAAACTGAAAACCATGACCTTTGCTGCAGAGACACTCCTTAGGCTACCAATTTGACCCAAAGCAGAAAAAGTCCAAGTCATTATGATCCCATCTAAGCCTCCGCTGAGGAGTTTAGTGGTACTTATCCTTCCCCTCTATGGAGGAAAAAAAAGCTTTACAAGTAGAGTGGGAGGGAGAGAATGCAGATCTGAAAAGAAATGTTGATTTAAAAAAAAATTGGGGAAAAATCATCTAAGAGAAAATCAGGTCGTGAAAAGTCAAGACCCAGTAATTTGAAGGACCAATTGATACAGTGCAATGGAAATAGGGACAGGATGAAATTAATTTCAAAGTAAAATTGTAATAAAAATTTTGAATCAAATGAAGCCCCTGGTCATTACAGCGTCAAGCACTTGAGGCCTCAGTTTCCTTATGTGCAAGGCGCCCTCCGGGCTCATAATCCCCGAACCAAGGACTCGGGATGGGAAAGCAAACCCGCTCTACGTTCAGGGAGGGGACGCTCCCGGAGGTCCGAGGCCAGCAAGTGGCCCGAGGGGCTAGAATGACATTTGGGGGGGGTCGCTTAAGCCTCAGTTTCCCCGCTGGTAACAGGAAGGGCTGGCACCTGAGGCCACTTCCAGGCGCCCGGGGCCCGCTCCCAGCCCCTCCCCCTCCCGCCCCCGGGGCGGCCGTCCTGGGCACCCTCGGTCTCCGCGCGCCCTCCCCCCGCCCGGCCCCGGTCCCCGCGCCGCTCCCTCACCGGGCCCAGGCTGCGCGGCAGCCGGCGGCAGGGGCAACGGCGGGGCGGCGGCGGCGGCCGGGCGCGGGCCGCTGCTGTTGATGATGTAGTGGGAGACGCGCGAGTTCTCCGAGACGCTGAGCACATAGTCCCCGGGGCTGGTGCTCGAGTCCCGCACCAGGAAGACCCCGTGCCGCTGGCCCTGCAGCAGCGCCACCGCCTCCTGCCGGCTCAGCCGCCCCCAGTACCAGCTGCTCCGCTCCTCCGAGTCGAAGTTGCCCGCCATGGCCGCCTCCGCCCCGACACGCTGGGCCTGGGCCCGGGCCCGGGCCTGGCCCGCCGAGGACGATGCCGCCGCCGCCGCCCCTCCGCCCGCGCGCGCGCCCCTCCACGCCCGCGCGCCGGCCGGCCGGCCTGCCCGCCCCGACCGACGACCGACCGCCCGCCCGCCGCCCCGCGGACCGGCTCCGGCCTCCGCTCCTCAGCAGCGCCTGAAATGGCGGCCGCGGCGGCGGGCCTTCCCCACCGGAAGTGACGCGCCCCACAAGGGCGGGGGGACAGGAGGCGGGCGGGTGGCCTGCCGGGAAAGGAGACGGACGGCCGCCATTGGGAGAAGGGCAAGCGCGAGCATGCGCGCTGCCCCTTACGCCGTCTTCCCGGGTCCCCTCCCTGGGCTCTCGGGTGTCACTCCCTGGCCCGGGTCGGGACTGCAGCCGATTCCAGGGCGGGGCGGAGGAGGCGAGCAGCAGGCGGGGCTTGCCAGGGGGTGTCCCTGTCGCTCTTGACCCATTTCCGCCTTCTAGTCACGGAATCCTTGAACCACAGAATGGAATGTTAGGGCTGGGAGGAAGCTGTGGCGTCCTGGTGATTTCCTCTTCTGGCCCCCATTTTCCTCCGCTCCCCCCCTTGGCCGTCAGGGATCGTGCATTTAGAGCTGCAGCGTCCATAGAGGCCATGGTGCCCAGCAGAGAAATCCAGAGACCTGTCCGAGGCCACGCAGCCAGCGAGCGTCACGAGTGGGGCCACTCCTTCCAGTGAGGATCAGTCAACGAGCGTTGATTATATGGCTACCACTGGTCAGGCGCGCTGCTAGGCACTAAAGACTCAAGGACCACAGTCTTCCCTGTTAGACGAATGTAAGCTCCTTGAGGGCAGGCACAGTCTTCCCTTTTGAATTTATGTCATATCACAATTCTTGCCCTCTCCATGAGTGGGGGAGGGAGCGAATCTGGAACTCAAAAACCTTTTTAAAAACTAGATGTTAAAAATAATAATTTTTTTTAAAAAGAGCCTATATCACCAGCATTTACTTAACACAATACTCGATACATTGTGTTTAATAAGTATTTTTTCATTCGTTCATTGTTAATTCATTTATCTAGTTCATCTCTCCCCTTCACACTGTCTCACTTGTTTTACAAAAGATCTGTACACCCTTCTAACCAAGTCATTTCTCAGGAACCTTCAGGGGCTCCCCATTGTTCATGACCTAGTGGTCTTCCAGAATCTGAGCACAACTTAATATTGCAGCCATTTTTCTCCTACTCCTGCTGGACAGTACAGTAGAGTCAATCAATGAGCGTTAAATATTTACAAAACGTCACCACTATGCAAGGCACAAAGGATACACACACGATAGTGAAACGGCAATCCTTGTCCTTGAGGAGCTTACATTCTATGAAGGACACACACACAATACACACACATATATATTATATACACACACATACATATATACTGTACTAATACTTTTGGAAAACCACGTGTTTTTGGAAAACCATATACACAAATACTTAACCAAATATATAAATGTACCTATCCATATGCACTACATACAAATATGCTGCACTAATTTCTCGAAAACTGTGTATGTGTGCGCAGCGTACAAAATACCACATGTAATATATGTAATACCAGATACATGACACATACAACATATAGATACGTATTTAAAATATATAGAAGGTAATCTGGGGTCCAGACTAACTGGATTATTTCCCCACTCCCTACCACACCCAACCTGGTCTCTCTCAATCTGTGGCTTAGCTGGGGCCATCCATCCCACAAGCCAGATATGGACTCCTGTGTCCCTCACCCCGATCTTGTCTCTTCTGTGGTCCCTCCTTGCCTTCAAGGACTCAATGACCAACTAGAAAGCTACCTCCTCGAGGAAGCCTCAGGCACCCCTAATCCTAATCTTTCCTCCTTTTCCCAGCTCAAAATAATCATTCCAGGTGTGTCACCTCAGATTTTAATTCAATAAATTAAATTCCACAAATACTTAATAAGTCCCCTCTCTGTATTAGGCATCTAGGATGCAAAGGTTTTGGAAAAACATTTCCTATCTTCCAGATTACAATCTGTTAGTCCTGCTCTGAGAATTTTTGTCCTGTTATTTGCTATGCACAAATTTCATTCCCTATTGGAGAATTATTTGTGTACTTCCTCCCTCTCCCCCCATCTCCAGTACCCACTAAATAATAAATAAATAAAAAGTGAATAAATTGTGAGCCTCTTAAGAACAGAATTTGAGCCCTCTCTTCATCTCTGCAAATTCCAGCCCAGCCTTGAAAGCACTTAAGGAACTTGTTTAGGAATGGAACTCCGCTCTCTGCCGGTGAGCCGCTTGCCCCACCTCGGAGTTAGTGGGGGATCCCCCCCACCCTATTCATTCTTCTCATGCCATTAAAGCTTTGTAGAGCTGGAATGCAATGATTATACAGTACTTGCACTGAGACCAGAGCCTAACCCCATTGGAGAAATGGGTGGGACTGTTCTGGGCTGTGACTCAGAGGGCCAGTGCTAGGGTGGGGATGGAAGGGAGAGGAGTTAATGCTGGAAGAAACTTCAGAATCTTATGTGTACACTTACTCCATAAACTCTCCCACCATCCCCCAGGGCAAATTGGACAGGACTGCCCCACCCTGCTTCAAACTCTCCTGGGCTATAGCTTCTATTTTTGTACCTTCCTTTCCTTTTCCTCATGACCTGACGTGAGCCAGAAACACAGTTATGTTTGGTACTGTGTAAATGGCTAAAGGGAGGAGGATTGGGAGGACTGGACTTCAAATCCTGCCTCAGACACTAGCTGTCTGACCATGGGCAAATCACCTCATTTTTCTGAGCCTCAGTTTCCTCATCTGTAAAATGGGAATAGTAACACTACCAGGCTTATCAAATGAGATAATGTGTGTTTGCAAACTTTAAAGTGCCTATTGTTATTACCTATTGTTATTAATATGCAAACCCTGAGAAACAGCCCTAGAGTTGGAGGAAGGGAAAGTGGGTAGCTGATAGGATCACAGATGGTGAGTCACAGGACCACCAGACCACTGCCAGGCCATCTCCAGTCATGTGCCCACAAACCTCCCCCACAAACAAACTCCTCTCCTCCCTTCCCCTAAAGAAAGGATGTTTCTTTATTCTCCTTAGCTCAGCCTAATTAAGCTGATTTTGATTTTAATTTTGATATTTTATTATTGTAAGGGGACACTTGTGACACTGCCCCCCCCAACATCTGGTCCCCCATAAGTCTTCTAACTCAAATGCTGCCTTTCTTAAGTCCATGGATGGCCAGAGAATCATTGCATTAATATGGTAGTAACTGCCTCCCCCAATCTCCCATACCTCCTCCTAGTTGCCCTCACAGTCTTTAGGTATAGCCAGAGCTAATCCCAACGGCACTCAACGAGGATTACTACAGGTGTAACCCTACCCAAGTAAATTTGGGCCTCAGTTTCCTTTTCTGTAAAATGAGATAGGTCAGGCTCAACTTTTTCGAACAAAGGTTCTTGTTTAGATATGGAATAGAAGGCCTTGGACATCCCTGGGCTGGGTGGTGGAGTGGATAGAGTGCTGGTCCTGGAGTTAGGCAGATCTAAGTCCAAATCCAGCCTCAGACACACTTCCTAGTCATGTGATCCTGGGTGGTCACTTCATTTCTGTTTGCCTCAATCTCTTCAACTGTAAAAAGGTGATCGTAATAGCTCCTACCTCCCAGGGTTATAGAGAGGCTCAAATGAGACAGTGTTAGTAAAGCATGACACATACATGCTAACTATTGTGATTCCACTCAGAGAATCTATGATTCTGCAAAGAGCCACTGAGGAAGGAGAGAGCTGTCCTCAGTCTCCAATATTCTGATCCCCTCTCTCAGGACTGATAGAAATGCTCTTAAGTTTCAGGTCCCCAGCCCTGGCTGCAGGCTTTTCTGAATTTCCACGCCCTCCAACTCCCTGCTGGCTGCTCCCCTCCCACCCTGGACTTCTAGAAAGCTGGCTTCGGCTACAGTTTCCTGGCTCACCCCGGCCCCCACCAGCACACACACCTGTACCAGCCTCCTCTTTCATCCATTGTTCTATTTCCTCCTGGTGTCCTTCCTTGCACAATTTGACATTTACCAATGGACACGTGGACAGGCTCACCCAAGCAGGTTCCTGGAAAGAACATGAGCTGTAGAGCCAAAGGTCCTGGGCTTAACTGCCAGCATTGCTGCTCACTGAGTGTGGAATCTTGGGCATCGCCTCTCCAGGCCTCTATTTCCACCTCAGTAAAATATGAGGATTGGGCTAGATTAGAGGTTGGCACTCAAGGGGACACTTGTGACACTGCCCGCCTCCCAGTCTGGTCCACCCTGAGTCTTCTAACTCAAGTGTTACCTTTCCTAAGTCCATGGATAGCCAGAGAATCATTGCATTCATTATATGGTAGTAGCAGCCTCCCCCAGTCTCCTATACCTCTAACAGTATGCGTCTAACACATAGTAGTCTAACAGAGGGGCCATGGAATGAGGTCGATAATAAGTACTCCTTGGAATCCGTGTGACCCCAAATTACTTAACCTCTCAGGACTGTAAATGCCAAAAATGTAAATTACAGGGAAGGTGCCAATCTGCACTAGAGGAATGAGTTTCCACATTGGGGAGATCTGTATGCTAGAGGCAGCTAGCCTCTGTCTGCTTCAGTTTACACATCTGTAAGATGAGGATAATAATTGCACCTACCTTACAGAATTATTGTGAGGATGAAATAAGATATTTGCCAATCACTTTGCAAACCTTAGAATGTCTCACAGATGCTAACTATTATTGTTTTCTTCATGTGAAATGAGAGTGGATTAGCTTATTTTGTTTTCTTTTTTTTTTTTGCTTTTTGCTAGGCAATTGGGGTTAAGTGACTTGCCCAGGGTCACATAGCTAGTATGTGTTGTGTGTCTGAGATGGGATTTGAACTTAGGTCCTCCTGGGATGAGCTTATTTTAGTTTCCATAAAAAGCAACAACTTGGGTAGGGCCAGTAGGACAGAAAATTTAGAAAGGGCAGTCATAAACCCTGAGGTGGGTCACCAAAGTCTTGAAGTA